CTGAAAGAGCCATTCAGGGTTGCATTAAGATCCTTGTAGACTTTAGGCACATTTATATTATTATTATTATTATTATTATTACTATTACTATTACTATTACTACTACTATTACTATTATTATGGTTGGTCGCACAGTCAGCCAGATATTTAGACTGGATTTGGTATTTTTATCCACCTATCAAGTCCTTCCCAAGGACCTGGGATAGCAGATGTTGTTGTTTGATGTTGTTAAAGGTATCGTTGCAGGATATAAGCTGTTCCAAGTAACGCTACCTTTTGCAATTGACTGATGGTGATTTTGTCAATGTTGATGGTGTTTTATTATTATTGTTGTTGTTATTATTATTATCCTTGTTGCAGTAAGATTCCAGATGCTTAGGGTTATAAAGATATTCCCTGGACCTATATTTGTCAATAAGCCACATAGAAAAAGTCTCAGTAAGTATATGTATAATAAAGTAGTAATACTATCTTAAATATATTTAATTTTAACTTACACAAATTTTGATTTTACTGTTACTTTCATATATATTTCATATTTTCATATCACACATTTTCATAGGCCCTAAAGTTCTGAAGACACCAGGCACTGTGCTAGTGTGCCTAATGGATAATACTGACGTGGATCCATTGAGGGAATGGGTGGTGTATCATTTGTTTAAATATATAAATAAAATACATTAAATGCTTTCAGGCCCAGGTTCAGCATTTTGGGCATTTCATGACTGTTTGGGGGATTTTATTTTGAAATGAATGTTTTAATGATAAGAGAAGTACATATCCATGGAAGCTCACCATCTCCTTCGATCACACGGTTACAGTGGAAGCACACATCGCCAAAGAGCTGTGGAAATGGAAAATATAAGTCCCAGTCAGAAATTAATAGAATTTGAATTGGCAATAAAATTAGCAATGAAACGTATTAAAAACATTTGTGGGGAAGGCTGTAGAGAAAGTGTTGGATGGTAGCTATAGGAGGAAACAGATTATCTGGAACTGTTTCAATTGGGTTTCAGGCTGGGGTATAGTATGGAGACAGCATTGGTTGCACTAGTCAATGACCTTTGGTGGAGCTGGGACAAGGGTGGCGCATTCATCCTTGTGTTCCTTGATCTCTCAGAGACTTTAGATACCGTCAACCATGGAATCCTTCTGGATTGGCTGTGGGGGTTCGGAGTGCGAGGCACTGTATTGCGGTGGTCTGCCTCCTTCCTCAGTGGTTGTTTCCAGTCAGTGTTGATGGGACAGGAGAGATCATGCCCACGGCCCTTCACTTGTGGCATGCCCCAGGGCTTGATGCTCTCCCTGCTTGTGATGGAATGTATCTATGAGGAGGAGAGTGATGTGGGAGATCAAGGCTACCAGGAAGGAGGGGCTGCATTCCAGCAGGGGAAAGGAGACAAGAAACAACACAGTCCGCAGGGGGAGCGTGAGAAGAGTAAGAGATTTAGGATAGCTACTTTCTAGAATCTCCCAGGGTATATCCGCTAGTTGCTGTAGTATAGATTTAGTTTGGCAAGATTCTGTCTATAAGGTATAAGCAAATAAAGGGACTGTATTCGATTTGACTGTTTCATTGTTGTTCGTGGGCTGGGCCTGACACCCCTTCTGTTTAACATCTACATGAAACCATTGGATGAAGTCGTCTGGCAGTTTGGGCTCTGGTATCATCAGATGATGGTGGCTACCTATCTTGGGGTTTATTTGGGTTTATTTTTGTTTCTTGGTTTTATTTTTTTTAATTTTTGACATCGTTCTGATGTACTTATTTATTATTAAATTTTATTTTTGTTGATGTGTTATGCCACCCAAAGTCCTTTGGGGTTGGGGCACATTATATGTTCTGTAAAAATTAATAATGAATAAAGCTGTGGCTCCAAGTCATCACTTGGTGGAGCACTTTGAATATGTCTAAACTCAATTGGACACAATACAAAGTTTATAATTGGGCAATACAAAACCTATGACAATCACAGAGATCTCAGATTGCCTGCTATTCTTGACTTTTAAATCTTCATTAAATTAAAAATATTTTTCTGCCCTAAAGGTAGTTTCAGCTCCTCTTTCCTCCCCTCCCCACAATGCCCCTGCTGCCCCATGGCATTTTTCAGTTAGAAAAGGAAGGGGGCAAAAACTAACGGTCAAAATTCTGCTTCTGAGCCAATGACAAAATTCTGGGGATTTTTTTTTTCTAAGAGAAAAAGAAGAAAAAACTGCTGTGCAGTTAAATTTGGAGAACCGGGGAGTGGCAGTGCTAAGAAGCAGGAAGGGTTGGGAGCAGGGATGGGTCTGTGAAGTATGTATGTAAAAAGTGATAATAAGGTGAGAAAAAAATAACTAGACTGAGTGGATCTTGAATGCTGTGAGTGTAGGGTGAGAAAAAAGTTGGAGGAAGAGATCCTTAATGAGAGAGGGAACTATGAGTTCAGAAGACTAATTTTGGATCTCAGGTCCCATATTCTCCCATATTTTCAGTATTCTGAGGAAGCTACTTATCATTTAGCCTCATCAATTCCTTTTCTATAAAATGAGCTTCTTTGCAAGCAGAATACTGTTGATTCAAAACATTATTTTGCATTTGGGGGCTCATTTGTCTTTTATCTTGCCATCTTCAAATTTTGGAAAACCTTGATCTAGGATATCACAACATATTTTATTATTATTTTAAAATAATTTTTAAAAAGCTATGGGAATGCCTACTTCTACAGAGTTTGAATTCAGTGCTGACATTCAAAACATGTCGAGTTCAAAATGCTCTTTTCCAAGCTCAAGATAATTGTTCAAGTTCAAACAGGGTTATGACCGCTGCAAGTGTTTCGAGCTTGAAATGGCTAAGCTCAAAACACTAGTTTGACACTTGAAGCAGAATGTTCCAGAATGATTGGAGAAGCATACTTCAAACCTAAAGTTCTTTTAAATTAGAAATGGAGTGTTTTGAGCAAAACAACAACAACACTTCAAATTTGAAACTTGCTGTATGCCCATGAAGAATACTGTAAGACAGAAATTAGGAAGCTGTTAATCGTTCCATAAAAAAATGTTTTGGGGGCATGCATACAGTGAGCATATTTTCTTGGAAAAAATAAAGGACAAATCTGAAAAAGGGGGAAATCTGAAAGAGGTTCACAGGGATAAAAAAATGTAATTGTTTAGGTTTATAACTTTGCTTTACAAAAGAAAATTCAAGAGCAAAACCAAGAAAATAAATAATTAAATTAAATAAATCTAGAGGACAGCTCTTGGAAATAAAGGACTGTCCTTTTGGTCACTGTAGGCATATCGCACCCTTAATTCTTATGAACTGCAGTTTTAGATTGAAGGTATTAAAAGTCCCTGGCTGGTTATTAAAACATAAAATGCAAGATGCAACGGTACCTGATTATAATGGGTTTCACAATATGCCAGTCCCTTCCTTTCGTAGTGACGATGTCCCAGGAATGGTTTCTCACACTTGGCACAAACAAAATGCTATGGGATAAAAAGGAGAGGGTTACCTTTATTTTTAAATAAAATAATTTCCTCACAAGCGTCAGTCTCTATGCAACCATGAAGATATCAAATTAAACTTTGCGTTTAACACATTCACAGGAGCAAACTGTACAATGCCTGGCCTTCCTCTCCCTTGTATAAAAAAACATCCTACTAGTTTAGCATCTACCTCCTCACACCTCACTGTTTTGCAAGGCTATTTTCTAAGATTTCCAGAGCAGATTTCAATATTTTAATATTTTAATATTTCAATATTCTAAACTAATAGTTTAACAGAGTATTCCTGCACTCATGTTACACTGATTTAGTGAAGATTTTTAAAGGAAAACCTTACAATGGTATGTGAATCTAATTCAGAAGAAAGTTATTGGTGAGTCCTCTTTTTGTGAAGATCTTTGAGCAGAGATTGGACAACCACCAATCATGGATACTGGAATGATAACTGGACCGTAGGTCTATCCTGAGCATTGAATTGGACCAAAGGATGCCCAAGAGTCTTCCATGTACTACTTCATAAGAAGTAAAAATGCAGCACGTGTCTACAATCTGGAAATAATCTCTGCTCTCTCTCGCTTTCTAAACTGCATTCTGTATTCACACTGTTATAAACAATGGTGTGATCCAGAAATTCAGATCAATCTGATGTACTGAAACTGAACCTGCTCTCTGCAACCCTTTGCGTAAAACCCTGTCTATGAATACATAATGTGCTTTTGGACATGCACTTCCTCTTAGCTTCATCTACCACAACCGAGTGTGGGACGGGAAATTAAAAGCATATGTACTTGAAATCAGCCACTCAGACTAATCTGAAAGTTAATTTCACTATAAAGCACACAAAGTACTTTCAGATAAATAACACTAGCACTCATTTTTTAACTATCAGAACATTCCCTCTTTTCTATCAGTTCAAGAAGACAAACATTTCCATTCTTATGATGGAAGAGTATGGATTTGTTCATTACAAAGGATCCTCACTATAAAACGACACAGGGCTTATTGAATGTTTTGAAGATTCTTTTTGAATCTTCCAGGTTGAATATACCCATAAATACACTAAGAAAGAAACAGAAAACTTACCTCAACATGCCACTGTTTGCCCATAGCATTTACCACTCGCCCCTCAATTGGCCTCCTGCATGCCCCACAGATGGGGACCCCCATTTTATCATGGCAAGGCAAGCAATACAACTCCCCCTTCAGTTCTCGAGCTTCTGCAGTAAGTTCCTTTCTGTTCACAAATTAAAGAAAGAATATGAAGCCATGGCGATTGAAATACAGTCACTTGAAAATGTGGCTGGACATTCTCTGAAAAAGCCATTTTTTTGTATAATAAGGATTCCCATTGTGAAAAAATTAGTATCACCAAAAGATGATAGTAACTGGTGTGTGCACAGACCACTGAATTAGTCTAATGTTTAGGTCAGGGTTGGGAAGCTTCTAATCATCCAGTTGTTGATAAAGGAGAAGGATCAAACAACATATAAGTTATAATTAGTAGTTGTGTTTCTTTTTTTTAATTAACAACAATCTAGCAGTTATTTTTTTCTTTTTCTAAAATAAACTTTAATTCATTTCCCACCCAATCCTAATCCTAATCCTAATCCCAGTCTGGGTTACAAAGCTCCCATCTGATTTCACATTAGCAAAAATAATCCATTGCTCACTTATAAATTTCAAGCATGGGCTCCCTGTTTAGACTGTGCTTGACATACTGATAGAGCTGTTGGAAGTTCAGCAAAATCTAGAAAGTCAAAGTTGCCCACCCTGATTTAGACAGATACTTCTGGAATAAAGTGAAACCATGATCTTAAAAAAGAAATTTTCGTCTTGCCATGAAATTCAAGAAGCAGAGTTCAGATTTGTGGTTCCATAAGCAATACTGTGCTGTTCAAACATAGTAGAATTCCTTCTCTTGAGAAAATGAGACACTCTGATAGAAGAGCCAAGAATGAAGAGCAGGCCTGCACCTAAACTGGACCAACTTCTTTCTAATAAAATGGTGTTGCTGAGGAACTTATAGTGATTAAAGCTACAATACTTGATCAGGAAATTGGCTTGGGATCAAAGGATCAAACCAGATATTACTTTACAAACATAACAGTTATGTATTTGTAACTTTATAGTAAATGTAAGGAACCCAATCTGGATTAGATATCTAGTCTAGAAGTAGGAGGCTTTAATCCTTTGCCCCTAGCACAGTCTAATTGGGGAGCCCATGCTTATAAGTGAAACATAACTGCTAATTATAAGTTATATGTTGTTTGATCCTAACAAAGTGACATGGTTTCAGTCCTGAGCACAAATAACTGGTGATTTAATTATTGAACATAATGGGACTTACACAAGATTGGGACGTGCGTGGCTTACGGAATATCTTGCTCATTGTTTAATCTTTGATAGAGTGGATATTTTGCTTTCAGATTTGATTATCAAGCATTATGATACCAACATTTAAATGTTAAACTTTCTTTCATAATAGGTTTCCATTACCCGCAGTTGGCACAGTTGAAATGATCAGGATGGTAAGGGTCATTCTTGAAGATGAGCGGCTGTTCATCAATTATGGCATGGCACTTTTGGCAAATATATTTACCAAGACCTCTGGCTTTCTCCCGATTATGGCACGGACGGCAAAGATGTCTAGAAGAAATCAAGGAACAAACAGTAAGAAATATTAGAATACTGCAAAAACAAACAAATATTTAACCTGAGCTTTTGCTTCAGTCTTGTATCCAGAAAGTTAACAACTTTCTGTAAGGAAAAATGGTGCCCTTTCCTTATAAGGAAAGATTAAGCCAGTTGCTTGCATTAAGATCTCTATTTCTCAAATAAGTAATATCAGAGATGATATTGCTCTGATTTTGACCATTTAGGTATCAAGAACTAGTTCAATAATACAGTCTTCTATCCTGCAATGAACAGTTTCTACGCTTCAAATACATTATAACCTTGTCATAGTTCTTAGTTATTAAGTATGTGACTTCTTAGGACATTACACTGATAGTTGTAAAATCTTTTGAGCAGAGGCAGAGTATCAGGTATTATTTTGATTTATACCCCCCACTTTGTATTCAAAAGGTACTTAAGGCCCCTAACAATAATTTTTTTAAACAATTGAAAAAACAATTCACTATTAACTAATTCACCAAAAAGCCCTGAAAAAAATTAACTCCTTTTCTAGAAGGTGAAAAAGACAACCAGTGCAGGTCTATCAACATGGGAGTAATATGCTCCCAGTATCATACTCTGGTTAGAAGCCTGGCAGCCACATTTTGTAGGAAGTTTCTAGAAACTTCTCAAGAGCTAGTATAGCTTAGTGGTGAAAGCACTGGAGAGATTCCAAGGAGATTCGATTTCGATTTCGAAAGCACCAAGGAGATTCGATTTCAAGTCCACCCACCACCCTTGAAGCTTGTTGGGTGACTTTGGGCCCGTCCTTTACTTTCAGTACCGCCTACCTCACAGGGCAAAAATGGCAGGGGGGGATTGTTTTGGTTAAGGCAGGAAACAAACAAGCAAGGAAGCAAAGCATTGCCACATACAGTACCTTGCCGTAGTCAAGTTGGGATGTCATTAGAGGATGGGTAAATTTTGCCAAATTGACTGTCTTAGGAATTGTCATAGCTGGCACAAAATACTGTAGACTTAATTGTACACACACATTCCTCCTTGTCACCAGTTAGGAATCCAGAGATAGCTAGAGGTCAAAGTGCACTCTCAAACTATGGTTTTGCTCTTTCAAGGTGACTGCAGTTCCATCTAGGACAGGCTGAAATGTAACCTATTTTCCAATTTCTTCCATCTTTTCTGAATATAATTTCAGCTTACATTTTTCCAAGTACTATTTACTACATATCTGTAGGTACATATTTTCCTGGCAGACCTTATGAAAATATGTAGCTGATAAGTTACAAATACAGTTATTTCATATAATGTGAAAAAATTCTCAGAGCATGAAGTTCTAAGTTGGAGGAACGACAGAAGAGTTGGAATTTTGGGTTGTGAGTGAAAATAGAGAACGAAGCTGGTTTTTATATATATTGGTTCCAACTTCAGTTTAGCAGAAAGAAATACATTTTCAGGGAAGAATGAATAAGGACAGAAAGAAGTAGGAGATTATTATCTGAAATTCACAGGCCTAAAAGTTTCTGATAAAAAACAGAAATAGGTCCTTGACATAATTATGGTAAAGGAGATTCCAAACATTTAAAAACTGATAGAAAATCATTATGCCCAGATTTATAATCAAGGAGGAAGAAGTAACACTGACCTGCCAGCATTCTTCACAAATCCTATGTCTGCCAGTACCTGTTGGCAGAGATCACAACAGAAGCATTCTGGGTGCCAGCTGTTGTTCATAGCCTTAATAACCCGACCAATAATAAACTCTCCTAAAATTCAACAGGAGATATTTAAAAATAAGTTAATTAAAATATTAAAATGTGAGAGAGAATATGATAGCTGTGTCTTTCCTTAACAAACAAACAAAACATCACTGTTATTTTGTGTCACTGTCTCCTTCCATACTTTATGACTATATTTAGATAAATTATGCCTAAAATGTACTAATTTGCCAAGTATAAACTGGTATTTAATTTTGATCCTGTTAATTAATTGTCAATATCAGATGTAAAGCAAAAAAAAAAAAAAAGAATATAACAACTGTTGCATTACAGATTGTAGAAATTCTGGGAATTGCAACATATTTAGATACTAAATATGACACTTTGAAGTGTAATCAATATAATTTGATACATTTAAGTAGATTTAGAAAAGTAATTGACATGTCAAAATATATTATTTTGTAATGTGGTTCTCCAATTGTTTGATATTCATATTTGTATCCCACTTTTATCTAATGGGAAGATGCCAGGAAGATGAGGGCACTGACAGCAAGATAAGGATGGCATATTGAAAAATAACTGAGGTTCAGTACTTAACATAAAAATAAATAAAAGGTTCAGGGCTATGATTCTCAGATGTTCCATTAACTACATGTTCCTCCTATCTAGGAGTTACCTCTCATCATCTAGCTTTGATATAAAATATCCTTTACTCATGTTGGCCGGGGAGGGGCACTCCTTAATAGAAATAAACTATTAAATTCCTCCTTTTCCAGGCAACTGAATCTAACTTGTTATCCTGGGTCTCTCATGATTGGGTAAAACAACAAGAATCTTGGGGCTCCTTAAAAACTAACTTATTTTTTATGGCATAACCCTTTGTGGATCAGAATCCTCTCCATCAGATACAGAGAGTATTTTATATATGATTCAGCCAACTCTGGAAAAAGATGCTAATGACTGAGGAAGATGAGCATTTATGGGCTGGTAGAGCAGAACACTTTCTTTTCAAAGCTGGCAGAAGAGGAGATTGATTTGGGCGTGAACATCGCTTTAATGTATCATGGCAAACAGAATCAAAATGGGTGCTTCCAGTTTTTTTCCTCTATAACTAGAGTAACTTTATCAAGAAACTTACATATGCAGGTACAAAACACCTACAGGCATATAAGTACACCCTCATACCTAATTTAATTTCCTCACAGTATTACTGATAGCACTTCTGATTTCTTCTGTTATTTATTTTATATGTTACAGCAGGAATTTCCCTTCTCCTAGAAACGACATGTCTGCACTTGATAAAGGGACTATTATCTCATTCTAATTAAGTTATGTGACTTGATGCTCTTGCTAAAGGGCACACCAAGGGGAAATAGATATTCTAGTCTGTTTTTTCCATAGCAACGTACACTTCATATCTAAGTGGTACAAGCTTGGGTTTAAACAGGATTATGTTCTAACAAAATCTTCAGCTTAATTTAGCATGGCATAAAAATGTACTCATTACAGAATAAATGTTTTTGTGTCAACTAAAGGTGGGTCTGGAAAAGTGTTTAATATGATTGTTCTTGGGTGAATACGATGTGGCATATAGTCATCTTTTGAGAAGAGCCCTCCCCAACCAAGATATTCATATATGTTGGATTTTAACTCCATTTGCAAATGCAGGGTGGGATTACAGAGGCTGAAGTACAATCCTTGAAGACAACAGGAAACATTTTTAATAGACATATGCCTTGTTTGTTTTACTGTTCACCTTTCTTTTTAAAACAATGTATACTTTATCTCTCTCCTCTTGTAAAGGCCTATCAGACCTTTATGAAATATATTTTCCTGAAACTCACCACATTGATGACAGCAAGGGGCAAAAAGCATCTGAAAGTCATGTTCACAGTACTTCCTTCCTTCAAACTGAAAACAGAAAAATAGGCCAGGCTATCAGAGAGGAGAACAGGTAAGCATGTTTCACACATACTGTGGCTATACTCTTGAATTGCTAGGGTTTCTAATATGAGAAGTTCCAATATGAGTTTATACTTGAGCAAGCTACACTTATATAACATGCATTATTTTGTAAGTAGAGAATGGCCCCGCACAGAAATCTTTTTACCCAGTCTGGGTTTATGCATAGTTGCTAATGCTTCTGACAAAATGATCTATATCTGGGCACAAATCAAGAGATATTCTCATCATGAACATCTGTTTTAATGTTCAATGCAGGAAACATATTTTGTTAACCATCTATTTCTTTCCGTCCTTTACATTTCCTGAAAGGCAGCTCCAGGAAAATGGCTTTGGAAAGATGGAAATGATCATGCCAGGTCTTTTTTTCCCCCCAGAAAACATCACCTTCTTTCCAAAGTATGTGATAATATACTAAAGTAAACACAGTTATTTTCAAGTAGATGTGAAATAAATAAGGCATTCCTAAGACACCATCATCTTATCAGACAGCCTAATATTATGGATAGTCCTAGTATTTATTTATTCATTTGACTTCTACCCCAACATTACTCCAGGAGCTCAAGGTTAAGAGATTTCTCTTCATTTTACCTCCAGAACAACAAATCTAGGAAGTTGGTTGGGCTGGGACTGGCCCAAAATCAATCAGGGAGCTTCTCTGGACTTAAATCTGTTCAGTGACAGTTACTCCTATGTAACTCTATATAGAGGCATTAAGAGGATAAATGGGAAGGATGATATTTCCAAATTAATGGATAAAGAATGAGCAATGAACTAGAGAGTTCTGCTGAAATGAATATTCAGCACCACATACCTGAGCAACCCAGTGCATGTTTACTAACAAGTATGAGTGTGTACAATGAATTTACTAGGCCTAGAGCAGCAGTTTAAAGCTTGGGAAGACATTTAGGCAAGTTACATATCTTAAATATGGGGGAAAATTCACTGGTGAGTACAAAAGAACTTAAGAAACTTCTAGGAACATGTGTCCCTGACTACCTGAATGGAATGTCAGGAATATCTCTATTTGCTTTTGCTTTTTTTAAAATGGAGACTGAGGCTAGTTTGAATGGAGCTTAATTACCAAAGAGCTTAGTTATTATCCTAGTCATCAAACCTGATGTTGGTGAAGACTACTATACATTTCACAACGCACCACAATTAAAAAAAAAAAAGTTAATGCAGCATTTTAGTTGTTGCAATATAACACAAATCAGTGAGAACCATTGTGTAATCTGTTAAATGTTTTTTCTGTAGGTTGCCCTATTGCATTTTACAAGAACTGTTGCAACCAAACCACAGTTAAATTGGTGGGCATGTAAAATTGAATTTGATTCTGAGCTTCTCTTCCTAAAAAAAAACATTTGTCTGAAATTCAGTTATCTGAATAGTTTATGATTTATCTTGCTGAGTAACTGTAGCAGAGTACATTGTGGATATTCAGATGTAAGATTTCATCAAAATGGCCTTCAAGATGGGTGCCCTTGATCATAGCAAGCACCTTAAGAGGGTGGATGGCCAATAAATATAATGTGTAAGGAAGCAGAAGGATAAAGTGCTTCATGGATTAGTAGCATCAAATGGTCAGGCAAGTTTTGTAGGAGTGAAAAAAGGACTGTATAAAATATTTTTAAATGCTGTATGCAAGTTCAGATGAATATATGTATGTTTTCAGCCTTTCATGGGCGTTTCTGAACTCAGATTCACTATTCCTGATTTTCTGTCCAAGTCTACTTTCATTTTGTTGATCTATCAAAAACACCGAAAAGAGTGTAATAAATACATACTTTTGCAGTGAAGTCTGAGACTGACACATGTCTAGGTTCTCAATACTAGAGGCTCCTAAGGAGAAATCATATCTCAAGTTGCTATAAAACAGCTGCAAATCTCTAGAGCTTTTACTAAAAGTCTGGATACTCCCTTCCCCAACTACTACAATAAAATAAATCTTGTTAAGATTGTACTACAGGTCTTTCAAATAAAATACTCAATTGTGAGGTATTGGAGCTATCAATACATAAAATATGGTAACAATTATGTACATTCTTAGCTTGGGCCAAAAGAAAGCAAACCATCACATCTGATTCAAGACCTTTGAAGGTGGGTCTGTGCACTCTGTGGGCAAATCCTCTGGGAAACTGCCAGAGAAAACTATCCAGCCTTTGGAAGAGATTACAAACCCTGAACTAACAGGATCGAGGAATTCCTTGGCTGAACCAGAACTAAACCATCCATCTTTGATATAGCCTGCTTAAATTTTCAATCTACCATATTATGCACAGCAGTGCTGCTCCATTGTGATGACAGAGATCTTATATAGGCTATATAAAGTAAAAACAGGCTCTCCTCTATCTCAGCTGGTTGGGCATGATCATTTTGTACTAATTCAGGAAGCAGCACTTCTTCCTTTAGGAAACTGTCCTGACCAAAGCAAGCAGAAATATTTTGACCGTACCAAATGTTGCAAAAGTTCTTATCAGGGCTGTATTTTAATTCCTGCCATGTCCATGATTCACAGCAAGTGTGTTAGGACACACCAGTAGCTTGCAGAAACCATCTGAATATGTTTTCAGGATGAGCACAATACCCAAAATGACTCTGCTTAAAAAATAATTGAAGATGAGTTCCAGACAAGGTGAAAGACAAGAAGTTCAATTATTTTTAAAGCTGAATCTCCCTTATTAAAAATCTGACATGCTTTGCATTTACAGATAGCTAATAGTATTTTTACCTTAATCCTCTATTCTAGTAGCTTTCTTATGTAGCAGGGCTATTCCAACTATCTCTAACCAATGTAGCTGACCTACCATTCATTGAACCTCATGATAATGGTAAGTATGACAGGCATCTTTTTTCTTAGTGGCATAGTTCCTTGAACTTCCTTGTTTGTATATTACTTAGATTCAATTTCTTTGCTGCTCTGGATTTCTTGGCACCAAGATACAAGCTATAAGAAAACTGCTCCTGGTTATCCATTTGTGTATTGCTCCATGGTATGCCCTGTAGGCAAAAGCTACAGATGATCCAATTCTGCAAATGATGGTTTATGATGATATGGATGAAGTGCTAAGGTTAACCAGGGAGACAATTCAAATCCATGTTCATTCATGACCCCCACAAGATGATCCCAACCCAGATTTAATCTTTCAGTGTTGCTTATTTTACAACACTGTTATGGAGCTGAAATGGAAGAGGGGGAGTAATTTTAAGCTCTTGAAGGAAGCTGATAAATAAGTTCCCATGGTTCTTTTAACACATGGCAAATGGATATATTTATTTACTTAATGCAGTCTTTCTTAATGTCTGTTGCCCACCAGATGTATTAAGACTGCAAGTTCTAAAATCCCAGCTAGCAGGGTCAACAGCTGTACTATTTATATCATCTGGGAATTCTGGCACTTATGAACCCAGCACCCCAGGAGAGAAGCAATAAGGTGAAGGCTGACTTTATGTGAGGCTGGCAATTGGTTTCCAAAACACATTATCTGATGATAAATTTGGGGTTTCTAATATAAGATGTGCTGGGGTGCACTGTGGTTGTATGGCAGGAAAGATCACTGAATTCTGCCTGCTTTCAAAAGTGTCATCTTCTATATTTGAAACAAAATACTGAAACAAGGATTAAAACTTCTAAATGCAGAAGCAACAGCTCAAAGGAAACTGACCTCATAAAAAAGTCCCTCAGGGAATTGCTGGAAGCACTGGGCACATACAAAGCACTGTTCATGGTACAGTTCCCCGTTGCTGTTAACAATCTTCTCTGCAGGTGCAAAGCCTCCTCGGCAGCGTTCACACATGGCATTGGCAAGAGCATTGGCCATATTGCTATAACAAAAGAACAAAAGAGAACTGCATGAGAACCTAGCTCTGATGATCATGCGTTTATCTCAATAGGCAGCTCATTCAGCTTGGCAATAAACAAGGCAAGTCTTTTCTATGGATTTTATTAAGAGAGGTAATCATTTGTAGCACGCTGGCCCTACCCCAAAGCCAGTGGGGAAAAAGAAAGGAAAGATCACCCCTTCTCAATCAGCACTGGCTCCTATTTGAGAAATCAGAAGTTGGTAGCAAAGGCAGAGTAAGCAGATGAAAGAAGGAAGGAGTCAAGGAAGCTTTCACTCTCATAGAAATCCTTGGTATCTGTGGGAAAGACGCCTGGAGATGTCAAAGGTAATCTGGAGAGATGTTCTCCCCTACTTCTCCTTCCCCACCAGAATTCTCCTAGGACATGGCCATACTTTAAAGAAAATCACTGAACTGCAGTAACCATACCAAAAGGTGTGTACAGCCTAGAGATCTCACATTTCCTTCCCTCTGTGCTGGGAATGTCCCTCAGTGGCATGGGGTAATCAGAGGGGTGTACCGACTGACCATGGTCGTTTTCAGAGGTTGGAGAGAGGATGAAAGGAGTGGCCCTGATGTTCATTGTTAATTGGGCAATTATTTAATGTCACAGAATGTACTGGGCATATATTAAAGTTCTGATTTAACACATGCTATGTGTGATAAAACAATACTGAGATAATACTCTGTCCCAATTATGCATCTGTCTTTGGGCTGTTTGCTATGTGACACAGATCTACCTCACAATCTTCCTCAGTGTTAAGATGGGATGCAGGAACAAATTAATAAGTCATATGCACAGGTATTTCATCGGCATATCCAATTGGTACATATCCTTTGTCCACATTTGTAGCTTTCTCCAGCATATCTTTTATGAGTTACACATAGAAATCCAAATTTTCACATCTCACTGTATGCAGCATGTATCATGGAGTTGGTCAACTGATCAAACTATAGGAAAACTGTCACATATGAAATAGTTTGAAGTTCCCTTGAATCTATGTAACATAAGTCTAAAACACTTAAAATGTGTTTAATTTGCTTTGGATTGTGCCAAAAAGCTATCTATTTCTGCATCCCTGAGCAATGACTGTACAAGATGCTCTCAACCGTTTAGAAGAATACTTCAGACAGTTTCCACTCACTGCATACAGAATAAATAATTTGGGAAATGCCAAGCATTCTAATGTTATCTGGATGTAGATTAGAGTCCACAATAAGACACCATGCTTCCAACTACAGAACAACATAAAATGTTTGCAATGGAGGATCTATGCTAAACAGTTTGTAATCTAAGAAACTGCAGATCTTGCATTCAGCATTAAGTGAAGGGCAGTAGATACTAGCTACAGTATTACCATACAGAATTGAGACAGCTGCAGAACACAGTAGCTCATTTTCAGCTACCACTTAATTCCCCCAGCATTTGCAAAGCAATATCTCTATAATACTCATGATGTGGAATGCACATCTGCAGCGCCTGGCCCCATTTTTGCAACATAAAGTTCCTTTAAATTAAACTTTGATTGCAATATCGTTGTGAAAGTCCAAAATATGTAGCTTGTGCTATTACAGTATGATGCGTTTTTTCAGAAATAAGTTTTTACTATGCTCAATGGAATTTATATTCTGCTAAAAGTAGCCTGGGTTGCAATTTAAAGCAACAATCCTATGTATACTTCCCTGGAAATAGTCCAACAGTTTGAAGGAGGCACGTATAAGATTTTTCTGCCAGGATTCAATGCTGTACATACTACTAGGAAATGAGCCACCTGAAAATATATTTTTCCTCTGCTTAAGGATTAGGATGCATGGCTGCTTCTATACTAGTTAACCCAAATAAGGAATTTTCAATGGAATTTAGAAAACATATTTTACATTGCAGGCAAGTATTTCATACTCTTTATGAAATAGGTATTGCCACTTTATATTTGTAGACTGTAAAGTACCCAAAAAGGACATCAGGAGTCCAATCAAGGATGTTAGTTTTGGAACCAGAAACAAATACACATATTACATAATACAGTACACACAATACCCAGATTAAAATACAAAACTTCCAGAGCATCTTACTGGGTAGATCATGCTCTATTCTATCGCTCAGCCATATGAACATCAATCAAGACTATGCTTGAAGAAACGCAAGTAGCCCAAGTCCCAAAGCAACTGAGAAGGTAAACTTACAATTTTGCATAAAAGTCACATATTTCTTTGTATACTTTTACGTCACTGTGCCTGCGCTGCAGTTTTGACACGGCTCTTTCCCCCGTGTTTGCATGGCTATCATGGTTATCGTTCTGATGAGCGTGCGATACTTCTTCGTTCTCTGGAATTGCATAGGAGTGTCCTCTGCTTTGGAATTCCATTCTTAATTTGCGACCGTTTGAAAAACAACTGTAGCAGAGAGCTCTGAAGAGGCCACCAAAGGTAGGAATAAGGAGAGGAACAATCCTTAATGGGGACTTGACTAAGAACTGGATTTAGCTGCGTGCAGTTTGAAGAGCTTCAAGTTAAAAGTTCAGCTACAGAACAGTTTGAATGTCACTGTGAGGTTAGGGGTGTCAGAGGAACCTAAGCAGCAAATTCCATTGGAAGGTAGTAACAGCAACTTAGACAGAGCAGATGATCTCTTCTATTTACTGCTATTAGCAAGAGTTGGACTAAGGCGCTGCTCTTAGAAAGCTGTAAGCCTGGGCACACTAGTTGTCACTGACCGTTTAATGTGGAAAAACTTACTCCAGTATGCTGGCATGCCTTTATATTTATATCAGGACTGTTAACGCCTTTGCGAAGATTAGAAGGAAATACTGTATTAGGAAAACCTCATTCAGGAAAACTGTTTTTTAAAAAGGACCTTTTGCAAATTCTTGGTTTGTTTTCTGGGTAATTCCTTTGCACTTTACTCCCTCTCCCCTTGTATCTAGGGCTGAATAGTCTGCATGTTTTCTGCTTCAGCACATTAGCAAGAGTGACATTGGGCAGGTAGGATGCATGATCATAGTATCTTCATAGGATGCCTTTTTGATATGAAAGATGCATTTTCATGACAGAAAAAAATATTGACAGTAAGAATATAGCACTATGGCGCTTTTCCTAAGACACTTTTTTATAAGTCAGGGGATTAAAAAAAACTTAGCATCATCAACACCGCCACCATCATACAATTCCTCTAAGATAATCCAATGAGTTTATGTCTCATAAACTTTTAAATGAGGTTTGAAGCAGACATTTCCTACTGATGGTATCTTTTAACAAGGGTCACTGGGTCATGCTAACTTACTATAGGAGTTGTTCTAGTTTACTGTGATGTATTTGTGGCAAGATACTTGATTTGAAAATTCTTCAACAGGAATAGCATGTTTTTGGAAGAAATTTTTATAGCAAATCTAACTCCATGCACGGATATCTCATTATATGAAACTCATTAAAAGGTACAGATGGTAGTACTAAGGACAATGGGAGGTACAGAGAGAGGCGTACCAAGGATGTGAAAAAACAAGTTAAGGAGTATGATTTTTTTTAAGTAATAATTTTATTAAAGTTTACAAAGACAAAAGAGTAATATAACCTAAGAGAAATATAAAAAGTGAGGAAAAGAAAAAATGTGTGAGGGTGCATGGGGGTGCGCAAGGGTGCAAGGGAGGTGTGGCAAGGCTCGGGGAGGACATGTGGGAGTGCATGAGGGAGGTGCAGCAAGGCTCAGGGAGGGTGCGTGATGGTGCACTGGAGGTGTGGCAAGGGTTGGGGAGGGTATATGGGGGTGTGCAAGTGTCTGGCATGAGCACAAAGGGGCTGGGGAGGGTGTGCAGATGGGGGAGACTTACCCCAGCAACTTGTGAACTTTCTGGGGAGGCCAGTAGGGAAGGTCGCACATGGCTATCACATGATTGCAGAGCACTGCAACCAGTCATAAGTGCAAGCTGGTTGCCAAGCACCCAGATTGCGATCACATGACTGTGGGGGTGCTGGGATGGCCAGAACTTCGAGGACCAGTCATAACCACCATTCATTCAGCACCATTTGTAACTCTGAACGGTCACTGAATGAATGGCCGTAAGTTGAGGACTACCTGTAGACATGTAGATGGATATTCAAGACATGTTTGCTGTTGAACAGAGATGCCAGGAACTGTCTCCTAAGTCTACATTTATAAGGGTTTGAAATAATGTATATTCGCCTTAATGTCCATTTTATCAAGGGTCAAACTATACATTCTATCAAGCAAGCTAGTTATATTAAAGATTTGTCATTATACTACAAATATTTGAGTTTCCCATACAATTCCCATAGCTTCTGTACATTGTGGCCAAGAGAATAAAGAATTATAGTTATTACAGCCAATTTTTTTAGTACAGCATTATATTTCTGCCCCAATACAATCTCCACATTTGAATTCCCCTGAAATGCAATTTACCTTAAAAGGTCCCAGTTTCAGCAAGAGAATAGCTTCAGAAGAAGGTTTATCTCCTTCAGTGCTAATCTGCTTCTTGAGTGAAACTGTATTTTTCTTAAAAAAGAGAACTTGCAGCCCCTAAGCAGATTTTTAAGTAGCATAATTCACATGACGTGTGGTTTTGCCATAAATTGGCTTTTCTTCTTGAATCTGGTTAATATTTGCTGCTTAGCTATCACTTAATGAGTGCACAATTCTGGATGAAAAACTTGTGGGAATCCTACATAGGCATGGAAAATATGTCCAGTAAGTATTCTGTCCTTACACAGCATTCCTATTAACCCATCAGTGTGTCTTCACCCTTTTTAACTGAAGGTAGCATGAGAAGCAGTTAGAAGAGCTTGTGGGAGAGATGTAATTTAGAGATTATCACTGTTATTTCTTAACAGTAAAGCTTTTTAAAACTATGGCTTATGTAAACTTTATTTAAAGAGCTGTATAGTGGTACACACTTCCTTTACCATTAAAGGATAAAATATTTAAGAATATGGCAATCATGCAAGTAAGACCTCAGACGTTATTAGTCACCTACTTGTACATGTCTCTTCAGCATTTCAGAGAGACTGAGAACAAATAACAAAAAGAAGACATCTTCCTTTGGTTTAAAAAATGAAAGATGTTCATCATTGCCAATATTTTCCACAAGCAACTAGGGAAGTGATTTATGTTAAGTGGCATACATTTTAAAAACTTGCAACTGGTATTGGACAGTTTCTGAAATTCATGCTGTGATCTTTTCTTAGAACCTACATTTAATTCAGGGAGATTTTCTATTAAAAAGGTGTTTTTAGGGAACCAGTATGTTGTAGTAATCATGGACTGTAGTTCGAATTCCTACCCATTTGTGAAAAGTATGACACAAAATCAGCTTAAACTATTTGTTTTCAGCTTATATGATGCTTAACTATAATGTGATCTGTGAAATTATGGTAACATTATGTGTGAACCTGGTCACATAATTAAAAATCCAGATTTAGCATTATATGTAAACTCAGCCATAGAGTTCTTGCAAGAACAAACCAGAACAATCCCAAGATCCCTTAAGTACTACAGGAAAAAATGACAAGTACAGTATAGTGTAGTGATACTTTTCTCTGCTTCAGTCCTTCTATGCATTCAACTTTTCACATTACTCTTTCAGGATTTTGCTTAGGAATCATTGCACAAAACAAGGCACATGATACAGGGATTTTGACAGAACCCATCTCAGTTCACTGAGTGAGTTCACTGAGTTGCAATTTAAACTTTCATATTACAGTAAAAGTTGGATTCACAGAAGTACTTTGTTTAATCAGAAGCTTTTAAAGTATTAAGCTGCATTTCTATTCTGATATACTTACTATAAAAACATGTTTTCAAAAATTACCTTAAAACAAGACATTTCTTATTTTGAACAATGAACAGTTCACCCAGTACTATAATTAAAACCTTGATTAATCTAGGTGAAGCTTGCCATGAAAGACTTCTCATATGTCCATCATGTTCCTTATAAGGTTGGAGTAACTGTCAACACCAGACTTTCTGGCTCGAAATTACGTTCTTATTATAGTAACGACTCCATTGGAGATACCACACTGAAGATTGACCTTCATCGAAGGTGGAAAAGGCAATATTGATTGCTCTGCTAAATAGAATGTCAGTCCCACAGAGTTTGTAAACAAGCAACAAAATCTATGTTTATATCAAGAGAAATAAGTATGAGTATTTTAAAGATCACGTGTTTGATTATATAAAAATAATAGAAGAACTATTTCCATCTTATTCTACTTCTAGCTTATAAAAACTATTTATAAAATCACAACTCCACTGTCTAATTAATTAATTAATTAATTAATTCAATGAAAAACAATACTTCAACAAGGCATGTAATGACCACCAATTCAAAATGTAATTAAAACATCACAGACTGTTCAAAGACAGGCTATTTTCTCACATAGAGGAGTACTGCTGCCAAATAATCTAGCATATTAAAGACTAAGAATTCTACCATAAGTGCAGAAAACTTGCCTCCAAAATGTGTTCATCTTTAATATGCTACAAAACTTGTAGTATTTACTTACAGAGAGATGGCAAATATCAACTGTTTGATTATGTTTTAATCTGGATCCAGTTAATGATACTTAGCGTAGATGTACAGTCAGTTCCCATTATTTGCTGTAGTTATATACTATAAAGTCACTGTGAATGCTGAATTAGCGAATACTGAAACCTCAGCCGGGAACGTGTGTATTGGGCAACTCAAATTTTTTGCCGCTCTGCTAGTCTGAGAATGACCGCAAAAGCGCTGCAAGTATGGATTCCATGGTTACAAATAAATTTTAGTGAGTAGGTGAATTTGCAAGTATGGAATCTGCAAATAATGAGAATTGACCGTATTAAAATCAGTAAGTTATTAATTAGTTCTTTTTTTGTAATAATTTTATTAAAGTTTACAAATACAAAGATAAAAGAGTAATACAAAAGAGAGAAATATAAAAAGCGAGGAAAAGAAAAAATGCAGAGAGAAAAAAAGAAAGAAAAGAAATATAAAAGTGATTCCCCCCTCTCTCTAGACAAGTGTAAACAATTCCCACAACTTAATACCTGCTCTAATATTTCAATAATAAAAAAAGATCTCTTCTTTCCATAACTCATCTCTTATCAATAAACACATTGTAAAAACTCATCATTCAGCTCTATTCAGCAAAAGTCCATTAAGAGCTACCAGAAATAATAATATATATATTTTAACCTTAATGAAATAATTCCATTTTGTGCTCCAACTTATCACTTTCTCTAAGAGATAAAGCAAAAGAAATCTTTCCCAGTTGTAAGCAAATCTTTAAAGCATCTCATTTGGTCCTGGTCATTAAAAAAATTCCACTAATACCTACCAGAAATCACAATATACATATAGATTTTAACCCTGATCAAATAAGTTCACTTTGTAGTCCTTCTGTTTATTTTTAAAAAGGTTGGTCTTTAATCTTGACAAATAGTGTTGCACAAGTTGATCTTTTTCTCTTTGTCTCCTCTCAAGGACAGCTTCAATAGTTTAACAGATCCCTTTTGTAAATTTGTTCCCAGACAGCTTTAATTTCTTCTATAGTCAATAATATTGCTCCATTTTATTAATAGGTCTCTTCTCCTTTAATTGTAATATTTAGTTCTCTCTGGTTCCCTCTAGTCAACCTTCAAAGTCCTCTTTTATCATATGTTTATCCTCCAGTCAGCAAAACTTTCCTACAGGAGAAT